TTGTAACTACAAAAGCTACATTTTAACTACAAAACTACATTTACCATACTACTAAAATGTTAATACAGCACTAATAACCAATACAACAGAATACATATAGTAAATATGTGCATAGGGCCGGGTAATATATGCACTTTTCACACTACCCCTCTATAGAGCTGCCTGAAGGCATCTTCCCCTGGCAGCAAGTGACGGGAAGCGGCACCCGGGGAGGCTTAGGTTGAACAGTAGTTCTGTGACTCTGCGAAAAGCGAGCGCGGGGTTAGGGAGGGATGCGGGATATCGCCTTTCCCGTGGTGAAAGCCCTCGGGAAAGTGCGAAAAGCGAGCGCGGTAGGGAGGGATGCGGGATATCGCCTTTCCCGTGGTGAAAGCCCTCGGGAAATGGCTGTCCGGCGGCGGCCCGCGGCAGTGCCTGGCACGGGTATCGAACCCGGGCACCGGCTCCGTGAGCCCGGCACGCCCGCAGGGGTCCGGCCACGCCTCCCGTATTACGTAACGGGCGCCTCCGCGCCGCCTTCCTGCCAGCCACGCGAGGGCCGCAGCCAATCAGCGACGGGCGGGTGTACGGGGCGGAGCATGGGCCGACGCCACCGCGCATGCTCCGTGCCCCGGCCGGGCGCTCTCGCTTCCGCGCGGGAGAGTTGAGGGCGGGGGAGGGGGTGGCGGGAGCGTCGGCTCGCGCCAGCCGGGCCGCGAGCGGGCGGTAAGTACCACCGCGGGCACGCGCGGCGGGGGGAGCGCGGAGCCTCCTGAGCGCCGGTCCCGCACCCCCGCTCTCCCCGCAGTGGCTGTGAGTGGAGCCGGCCGGGGCTCGGCTGAGCGGCGGCGCCGTGAGGCGGCACCGGGACCTCCGTGAGGGCCGCCCCGGGGCCCGAGGGTGTTAGGAAGGAATTCTTTGCTGGTGAGAGTGGTGAGGCACCGGCACGGGTTCCCCAGAAAAGCTGTGGGTATCTGGTGTCTGGCGGTGTTCAAGGCCGGGCTGGATGGAGCTCTGAGCAGCCCAGTGCAGCGAAAGGTGCCCTGCCCACGGCGGGGGTTGGAGCGAGATGCTGGCAAGTGAGAGGTGGTCAGAAAGACAGCTTTGTTCGTTCCTTCTTCTTCCTTGAGAAATCGGGATGTGTTTGTTCTGTACTGACGTGGGGAGAAGGGGGAGGTGAGTGTTGGTCGTGTTTAGCTGTGAAATCTCCAGCCCTGCTTCTCCAGCCCTCGTCCCAAATGAGGGACACACTGAATGTGGGGTGACGGGCGTGTGATTCCTTTCTTTCTTCCCGCTTCCATAGATCCAATCCTGCACTGCGCTGGAAGGAAGAGCAGAGCAGGAGCTGGGGCAGCGGGTTTCAATAGCGTGCTGGAATTCATTGGGTTCTTTTCCTTACTCCCCTATGGATGTACCAAGAGACTCTGTGCCTTAGCTTCCTCCTGCGTAAAAGATGGATATTTACATACAAGAATGTTTTCAGAACTGGGTCTGGAGAACAAATACTTCAGCAGGATTGCTGAATTTGAAAGTGGCACAAGCCCTGCGCTCTTGCCAGCACTGTTCTCCCTTTTTACTTTCTGTTTCCTTTCCCGTCTTCTTCCCTTTAGTCACTGTTGTCAAAAAATAAAGAACCGAAACCAGCAGCCCTCCTTCTAGGAAATGGCACAGGTACAGGAGGAGTGTCCAGGCGTGACTGTTCTCTCAGCTGCTGCTCTGCCTTCTGTTTTGCTGTGTTATCTGTCCTGTCATGAGCGGGGAGCAGCAGAAGCCCCCCAGATCTTACAGCTGAATTGGGCCCCCTGGGCTCCCTGTGGTGGTGACAGTGGAAGCGAAGGGTTGCAGAAGGACTTTGGGACAGCAAGGAATTGACTGTAAAACAGCAGGTGAAAATCCTGCACTGATAAGTGGAAGATGATGGATGTGGCAGAGAAACAACCATGGCACCGATGCCCTCTCTACTTAATCTGTTGCCACTTAAGGAGGAGATTTGGGGAACTCTAATACTGGTCTGGGGTTGACAGGGTGGTGGTGTTGAGTTGCTGTTTGGACTTGATGATCTCAGAGGTCTTTCCCAACCTAACTGATTCTGTGACAGTATGTGACTCTCACTGAAAGGTGTCCCTTCTGGGGTGACCAGGAGGACAAACCCATGGATCTGTCCCTAGGATTTCTGTGTTGAATTCTCCCCCTCTGGTTAGCTACAAATCAGGGTACTGTTGTACCTTCCGTTGTTTGTGGTCGCGTTGCATGGAATACCCCGGAGGTGCAATTGGTGCAAAACATTTCCTGGTAAGCAAGGGAAGGAACAAGGCCACACAGCTCTCACGCTGCCTCACGTTCCTCTCCAGACCTGTGGCAGCACAAACCACCAGCCCTCCACCCAGTTTTGTCTGCTCTGATCACCGTGGGCCCCCTTGCTTGGTGAGCTTCGTGTTTTTTCACTGCTTTATGCTTCCAGCAGTAGTTCTCCGGAAGTGTCAGCTCTGTGCTCAGAAGCAGGCTAAAATGTGATTGAAATAGTGAGAATTATTGAGGAAATAAGGAAAATACAGAGTGATGTTGTGGCTTTGTAGTGTAAATGGTAGCCCATCCTTTTGGAGGTGGTATGCTTCTCTTTGAGTGTAGCCAGAAGAGTATAGAGAAGGGATGGAGAAATGACAGAGGTGAACAGAACTGCAGACCAGCTTCTGTACAAAGAAGAGCTAAATAGTTTCAGATTCCTTGACTCATGCTGTCATGAGTACTGCTGAAAGAGTGGAGCAAGGATTTCTTGCCTTTTCAGAGAGATCCAAGTGTTTCAGCTGGAATGCCTGAGTGGCAGGCTTGAGCACTGCAAAAGCAAGGCATTGTTCAGATGAAATGTAACTAAACTGTAAAACTGGAAAGCTGCCCTTAGCCTCTCCCTTCTTGCGTAGGAGCAGCCAGCCAGCTCCATTGCCCCGTTCAGCTCCATATCCTCTTCCTGGTAGTGCTCTGTAGCAGAAGGCTCAGGAAGAGCACAGGCTCCTGTGGGGGTATGTGGGGTTGGCATGGCCAGGTTTGGGTAGCAGGGGGGCTACAGCGGTGCCTTCAGTGAGAAGCTGCTGGAAACTTCCCCCGTGTGCAGCAGAGCCAATGCCAGCTAGCTCCAGGACTGACCCTCTGCTTCCAAGGCTGAGCCCAGCAGGAATGATAGTAACACCTCCGTGGTAACTTTTAAGAAGGAAAGAAAAAAAGTTATTGGGCAGAGAGGAGTGGAGTGGGAATATGTGAGAGGAGCAACTCTGTAGACACCAAGGTCATTGCAGAAGGAGGAGCAGGAGGTGCTCCAGGTGCCAGAGCTGGCATTCCCCTGCAGCCCAGGGTGCTGACCATGGTGAGACTGGATGTGCCCCTGCAGCCCTGGGAGGTCCATGGGGATTCAGAGATCCACCCACAGCCTGTGGAGGAGGTGGGTGCCTGAGAGAGGCTGTGACCCCGTGGGAGGCCCGTGCTGGAGCAGGGTCCTGGCAGGGACTTGCAGACCCATGGAGAGGAGGGAGCCCACACTAGAGCAGGTTTCCTGGTAGGACTTGTGACCCTTGGGGGAACCAACATTGGAGCAGGCTGTGCCTGAAGGAGTTCACCCCATGGGAGAGTGAGCCGTGTTGGAGCAGTTCATGGAGAACTGTTGTTCATGGAATGGACTCACGGAGATGTTTGTGGAGGACTGTCTTCACTGGGAGAGACCCCACACTGGAGCAGGGGGGGGACTCTCCCTGTGTGTGGCAGGAACAGAGTGATGGACTGACCATAACCCCCGTTCTCCATCTCCCAGTGCCTCTTGGGGGAAGGAGGTAGAGTTTGGAAAGAAGGGAGGGATGAAGGCAAGGTGGTTTTAAAATCTATTTTACTTCTCATTATCCATAATTCAGTTAATTATACCCGAGCAGAGTCTGCTTTGCCTGTGATGGTGTTCGGTGAGGGATCTCTCCCTGTCCTTAACCCATGAACCCTTTGTTATATTTTCTCTCCCCATCCAGTTGTGGAGGGGAATGATAGAGAGGCCGGGGGGAGTTCCTGGCATCCAGACACGGCCAACCCACCAGAGGGGGACAGGATACAGGGCTAAACAGGGCTGTAGGTGCAGGCTGGCAGCTTCTGCACAGAGGAATGGCCAAGAGCTGGACTTCCACTGCTTCAGGATTCCTAGAAAGGTGCTGGAGTAACCCCAAGGCTGACCATGATCAAGTGTCTTCTGTCCTCCATCAGCATCTCTCTGGAGCCTGTAAGAACACCAGGGACTGTAGAGTCCACGTTTACCCCTTCCTTAAAAAATTCCTAGAGCTGGATCCTCTGACTAGGCCTGAGCAGGCACTATGTGTCTGCATTGATTCCAGGAATTGGTTTGCAGAGAGCTTTTCCTGTATTCTAGGCCATTCAAACTCTAGCTCATTCTTCTTTTGGATTTCTTTATTTTCTATTCTAGTTCTAATATGTCCTTGTGTTTCTGTTTGTTTCTATTGTATTTATTTATTGCTCAGGTTCTGAAAGTGGTATGATGGTCAGTGTATAGATGAGTATTGGAAATCAGTTTCTACCCTTCCTTGCTCACAAGACATAGAAGGACAGAGGGAAAAAAACTCCAGCTGTGTGCAAAGTGACTTGTGATTACAAGTAAATTGTCCTCCGTAGTGTAAGCCAGAGGGGGAAAAAACATAAAAAATCCTCTTCTACTCTGGTGGTGCTTTCACCTGGGGCTACCCAGTCTGCTTTATGCGAGCGGAATGGGGGCAAATGAAAACTGTTTGTCTGTTGAAACCCAGAAAAAGGTGGCAGGATTTGCTGGCCTTACTACCTCTCACTAGAATAATTTAACTTCAGATCTTCCTATTTCTTGAAAGCAAATGCAGATTTTTCTTCCCCTTTGTCGTACAGGAGTTTGTGCTGTCAGAGGTGACGTCTCCAGCAGAGGATAGTTTGGAGTATCACGCCTTGCAGGAGTGGGAAGTTGTTGAAGATTTCTGTGGTGGACTTGCACAAAAAACACAAAGTAAAATTTCTGCTACAGATGTTGTGGGGTGATGCTCTAACCTGCTGATGGGGATGTGTGTAAAGGCTTGTCCAGAAACACTTAGACTGCTTTTGTGAAGTATGTGGGTGGCCTCAGAATTTTGCAGCTGCTGGAGAAAGACTATGTGAAGAACAATTAAGACTTGAGTGGATATGGCCAGGAAAAGATAACAAGTGTCCCTGGGGCAATTCCCAGGGCTCAGGGAAAATTCTGTCACCCTTGTTAGCATTTCACCTTGCTGAGGAGAATGTTTGAATCTCTCACTTATGATTTTTTTTCTTGTGCCCCAGTTTACTTGCAGACCTCTCCACGCTACTTTGCTACATCCTTCTTACAACAAGCAATTACTGTTTCTTCCTTGTTTTCTGTGAACTCCTGGAAAGCACTGGTGAAGCTTGGGGGCAGCTGTTTTCCCATCCTTTGTTGACTCGCACATGGCAGCAGTAGGTTAAGAAAACACTACTGGTTCTACTGGTATTTGTTACTGGAGGAGCAAAGCACCAAGGGTCAGGGGATGTAGGTAGAGGGCAGGTGTTGGCAGGCTCTGCTTTCCTCTGTCCTGCTTGGCCTATGGAAGTTGTCAATTGCTTTGTGTTTTGTCCCAGTTTTCCTGCCCTAGGTGCTTTCTGGATAATGGCGAAGATGGTGAGAACAACATGTGCATTTTGTTCAGAAGGGGAGGCTGGCTCTGTGATGTATATCGCCACAGAGAGAAATATTGCAGCTCATCAGGATTGTCTGGTGAGTGCCTTTAGCTGGTCAGTACTGAAGAGAAGTGGAGAAGGGATAAGGGGGAAGTTTCCAGTGCCTATCTGTTTTTGGTTTTGCAATGATGTCTGGATTGAAAGGCTGGGCACTCAAACCAGCAAGTTTATATTAGATTGAAAAGCTCAAAAAGCAACAGGGCTTGGCCGGGATTTTGGAGTGGGAGAGGATGTGTCCGCACAGCTGGAGCTGTTGATTTGTGGTGTTTTCATGTGTCTGTCGCTGAGCAGTGGTCCCAGACACACATGAAAACACCACAAAGACCACAAATGGTCTTGCAACAGGAATAGGTCTTCTTGAAGCACTATTGAGAATCATCTTCTTGGATGAGGATGCTCACACCAGACAAAGTTGTATGCTTAAACCTTTGCAGGAAAATATCCATACCATTTGATGGTTAAAAAACTTTCCAGTGTGTCCCTTATTTAAAATAAGAAATAAAAATATCAGAAGTTGATTATACAAAAATATCTGTGAAGCTTTAAGTGTGTTACGATCCTTCTACTCTTCTTGCCTCCCCTTTATTCTGGAATGTTGGTGGAGCTGGTTCTTGGAGTGCAGAATCAACTGCAGCTGCTGTATTCTCTCTTCAGCAGAGGGAGAATACAGCTGAGAGCTGTTTAGCAAAGGAGATTGCTGCTAGAGCAGCTTTCTGGCTGTCACTGTCCCAGCCTTCTTATTCTCACAATTGTCATGTCTGCCTCTTTATTTTTCTGATATCTTTTTTGGTTGTCTGTTTTTTATCAGAATGTTTCACAACAGCGTTGTTTTACGGCACTTGGGTGTTTTGTTTGAAACAGGTTTTATTATGGCTTTAATGTTTCTCCAATGCTAAAACTTCTCTCTCCTTCTCTCTGTTTTTTCTTCTTTCTCCTTTCTTTCTCCTCCCAGCAACTTTATTCATTTCTCTGCCTTAGGCTTGTTTGCACTGTTTGGGTTTTTTTGCAGTCAGCTATCACCTTCTGAGCAGACAGACTGTGCCTGCTAGTTGATGAAAGGGTAGCTCCCTTTTGTTTGGAATTAACTACATGTAATGCTTGGGAAATGTTTGCCAAGAACTTCCCCTTCCTCACTCATTGACATGGCTCAGCAGTTCTGTGGGAATTAAAGTGGCCTGAGTGTGCTTGTGTGCATTTTTAGTGGGTTTCTCCCAGGATGTGTACAATGTTTCTGGGTTTTCCTGCAGTCAGCTGTTGTCAGCATTGGGCTGTATGGAAATCTTACTACAGAGAAATGTTGCATCCAGCTGTAGGTCTGAACAGCTGAGCACATAATAAGATGTCCAAGGTGTGGAGGTCTGTTGCCTGAAGATCTTCTCATCCTTCCTCTGGGCACCCTGGAATTCCACATTTTCTCTCTTTCATGTTTTTAATAAGTTAACTTTCTCACCTTGTTATCTTTTCTTAGTTTGCCTTCAAGTTATGTGAAATCTCCTATGTGAAAGGAGGAACTTCTTTTGACTGCAGAAATGTTTAAGCTTAGCTCCTTGTTCAGTGTAGGTGAAATCTCTTGTTAACACAAAGAAAAATCAGCCTTCTTAGGTAGGGCAAGTGCAAGAAGAAAAGATGTATTCTTTGTCTCTTTTCAGCGCTGGTGACTGAGTCATTTTATTTCTTAAAACTGTCTCATTTGTCTTTAGTTATTTTCCTCAGGATTTGTGGAATCTGAAGATCATAACCCAGAAAATCTGGAAATAAGGTTTGATGTGTCATCAGTGATAAAGGAGCTGAGGAGAGGAAAGCGGCTGGTAAGGAAATGTTTCTGAATCTTCAGTTAGTCCTGTCTCGTAGTATTGAAGGTTGTCTGGCCTCTTCTGTGCTTTGAAAAAAAACATTCAAGTATCTGGTCCTTCTGATCTAGTAAGATGAGGCAAATTACAGGTTTAGCATCGGAGTCATTGATTTAGCATTTGGTTTGGTGAAATTCAGTTCATTCTGTATTAAAATGCAGGTGGGTTTTTTTCTGGCCTTTATGTCCTTAGTCGACGTTTCCTGAGCCTTTGGTGAAGAACTAAGCCAGTGCCTGAAACAAAAGAATGCAATCCACAATTGTAAAGGGGAAAACATTCTGAGTTTAGCAGAAATCAGATTATTTAAGTGAGGGAGTTTTTTGATTGCCTTTGTCTTCCGCTGCCCTCCTCCGCCATGTCCTGGGCGGAACTCTTTTCATTATGAAGTTAGCCTAGGAAACATAAATACAAACATTAACACCAATTAATGCAGAAATGACTTGGGAAGGTCGCTCGGTGCCCTCACGTGGCTCTTTGCCTCATTTTACAAATTTGTCAGTATGACATAGAGGTAAGACAGCAAAAAGGTGGCTGCAGCAATGACCAGGGCGGCGTTTGCAGGAGTGAGTTTTGCCTGATGGATTAGACGGAGGCGACTCGCAACGGAACACTGGATTTTCTCACAGAGAACCGCATTTGTCCTGTCTGGCGGGATTTGGAGTAGCTGCCTGTGACATTTACCTGGTGAACCCCCTCCTGTCGCAGGTGTGCAACTTCTGCCGCAAGAAGGGGGCCACGGTGGGCTGCGAGGAGCGCGCGTGCCGCAGGAGCTACCACTTCTTCTGCGCGCTCTGCGACGACGCGGCCGTGGAGACCGACGAGGTCAACGGCGTCTACAGGTACCTCGCCTGTAGAGTGTCCTGTCCCTGGGGGTGTCAGCGCGAGGGACTTCTTTGGGTGGGGCTTGAAGGGTTTCTAGGGAAGGAAATGAGTTCCCCTCTCCTAAATGATGCTTGATCCCCTGTTTGCAAACTGGGGGAGAAATGTTTTCATTTCACAGGAAAACTTCACTGCAGTGCAAGGGAATCTGTTTAGTGCTTGAGCCTGTAACATCACTGAAAGATAAGAAGGCAAAAACCGAGAAAGTCAGTCTTTACTGACTCTCTAGCCAGTCTTCAAGAACCAAGACTTTTATTAATGTCACTCAGATTCTGAATTTTTTGTTGGTTCAGAAGCTCCAGTAAACGTGGTCTGAGCACAGAGCAGGTTATAGCACTTCTAGGTCTGCTCACATTAGTCAAATTCAGGTAATTTTCCCTCCCCTTGCTAGCAAATAACTTTGATTCCCACCAAAGGCCTTGTATGTCAATTCTGTTACTAGCAATAACATGATTTAATAGATTCTAAGTAAATTTTCTGTCCTAGTCATGCTAGTCCTGGTGTCCCCTGCATTGCTGCCTGCATTGCCATGGACAGATGAAACAAATTGTTTGGAGGATGCAGATGAAGGGGTTGAAAAATTGGGGCTGCAGGGACCTTTTGAAATGCTGAAGTTATAGTAAAGTCTAAGGTGCATAAAAGCCCTGATGCTCATTTCTGTGCAAGGCCAGAGAGGACACGGGTCATGTTAGATTAATTTGGGGATCATCTAATCACTAATTGTTTCAGATAGGGGTGGACTAGTGCAGTCCTTGGGAGGGGTGGAAGATGGGTCTTTTTGTGTCAAGAAACTTGCACTCCTGGCTGGTTCACAGTGCTCTCTGTCTAAAATGAATGCATCTGTGCAAGGCTGTAAGCCCAGCTGTGCAGGGAGGATGGGAGCTGTAAAATCTTTGTGAATCTGCAAAGCTCATGAAAGATGGAACTGGGAAGATGGAAACTTTCTATGATCACAGTATAGATGGCTTTCATCTTATAGCTTTCTCCTTTCTAAATCTCATAGCTTTAGAAAAGATAACTCAGGCTCAAGAAGACTGAACTCAAGATGTTAAAAAACAAGTGGGACTAATGGCTGGTAAAGAAGTGTTTGCATATACAGTTTGGTTTGGTGGCATTTTGGAGCTGGTGACCTTGGAGGTTTGGAAGAGGGACCCTTAAAAATGCTTTGTTTTAGGTCTCTGTGTGAGACTGCTAGCCTAGGAAACTAGGCTATAGCAACCTGTATTGAAGAGCTGGGAAAGGACTGGATTAGAGAAGGGTACTAGGACAGCTTTCAAGGATTTGAACCTAAAGAAAGACTTTTGCACAGTAGCAGTGGCATAAATTAAGCACAAAAATTGTAGCTAGCTGAAATTATTGGAGAGTACACTTGAAAAACAGTGGATATGGATTGACAGCCCCTGCACATTTTCATGGTGAAATACAACATACTGAAAAGAGAATTCCTTCGAGAGAGGCAGAGCTGGTGGCTTTAAATTCTGAGTTGCCATCGTTGTGATGATGGGCAGTGATCATCAAATCAAATGGAGCAGAATAAAAAGAGAAATGATGTGGTGCTGTGGAAGTGGCCAGTAAGCACAGAGGTGGAGAAATAAGTGCCATTTGCACTGCTGTCTTGCAAAAGTGATAGTAGGGAAGTGCTTCCAAATAAAGTGGCCTGAGTAGTAAAATATACTGTTTGTACTTTGTAAGATGGTCTTGTGCTTAGGATGGGTTGGTTTTAACTGTGAAAGACTAGAACTAAAAAACATTTTTCAAAGGGCAGTATTAGAAATTCAGGGATGTAAATAAGGTGTGTCCAGTATATAGCTTTCTGATTACATTGTTAGGCATACCTAAATCTGATTTGTTGTGCTTCAAGAAGCATTTCATGCAAAAGAAGTTCCTCATCAAGCCAACAGTCTGCATTTCTAAGGGCAGTGCTTCTGTTTTTGTTAAAAGAATGACAATCATTAGAAAATATCCTAGTAAATGCGGTTCCCTTTCAAAATTGCAGCAGTCTTGGCAAGTAGATTTGTAAGGAAGAGGTAAACTAAGCCATGCTCCTGACAAGGCATTTTTGCTTAAAAAGTGACTTGGGATCCTTCTGTAAGAAAGGCATACTGCAAAAGTTGGTTCCTGTTCTCTGCACATTATTGTGTCCAAAAGATAAGGAATATTTTCAGATAAATTTGTTTCATTTTGTCTCTTCAAAGGAATTCACATTGCTCTCCTAGAACCACTGAAAAGATTCCCATTTCACGTATTCCTGAAGTCTTTAAGTAACAAATGGACCGAGCACCTTTAAGCTACTGGATCTCACACAGGGTTTCCCCACATACTCAGGATTTGGGGGCCATTCCATGAGCGGGAGGGAGGGGCACTGAGATCTCCAGGCAGGTGGGTGCCTGGTGCTCTGTGTGGTGGTGCTGAGTGGTGCTGCCAGCGTCCTACAGGGCTGAGGAATGGAAAGTGACACTGGGCAGATGTGTCTGAGGAGGCTCCTGGCCTGCGTGGGGCAGAGGTGCTGTGATGGAGCAGTGTCAGGATTTGGGAGCGTTAAGCTCATTTCAGTGTCTCTGACACAGTGATTGCCGCGCATACGCATGAAATGTGCCTGCCTCAGGGCCTGAGCAGTGGGCAGGCCCAGGCAGGGTGGGCTGATGGAGCTGATTATTCAGAGCTTCAGTGCTGAGAGTGCCCTGTGGCTCTGCGAGTACAGCTACAAGGTTGTGCATGCACAGGACTTTAAAGCAGGTGGTTTTTGAGGGGGTAGTGCTGAACAAAAATCCTGGTTTTCTTGAACTGTCTTTCAGTTTATGTTTGGTGGAAAGAGGGAAAAATATCTGTTAAATAGGTCAATATAACTCCGCTTGCATATTTGTTAATAATTCTTCTCTTTTTCTTGAAATTCAACTTAAATTTTAGAGTGTTCTGCCCAAAACATGACCCAGGGAATAGGACCAATCACTATGGTGAGTTTCTTTAATGACTTCATTGATTTAATTTGTTTTAGAAGTTTGCATCCTACAGTCAGTAATTCATAAGAACAAGATAAATATTACCACCTTCATATTGAGTGGTGGATTTCTAATCTTGCAGGAGTGGTTTGGTTGAGATCCATATGTATGCACAAAAATCAAGAAGGCTTTTTGAAGTGGGAAAAGTTAAAATTTAATCCTCCTGGAATCTCCTTGAAAACTGACTTAAACCACTATGGATCCAATCCTTCATGGAATCATTCTTACTCTTCTTTATGAAGTAGGCCAAAGCAGCTTGTAAAATCTGTGTGAGACAGCAGAGCCACGCACAAGTTTGCACTAGATTAACAAGGAAAAGGCTGTTGCAGGAGAGGTCACCTTGGAATTTTATCTGTGGTTATGCAGACATTCACACTTGCATCTTCTGTGTTCACTGCAGTAGTTTTTAAAATAGGGCCTTTCATTCTGAAGGATCCCAAAGAGCTTTTTAAGTGTAACAAAAGAGTTTTACAACCCCTGTTTAAGGATTTCTTCCTGTGCTACAGAAATGCAGCTTCATTTGGCAGTCCTGGTCCTTCCTGATTCAGAGGTATTTGGAAATGCCAACCAAAGCTGGACCTTGTTAGCCTAATGCACAGAACTCTGCTCACAGTGAAGTGGCTCCTAGACTGGCCTTCACTTTGAATTTGAGCTCAATTGAACTGTAAGCACTTGTGCTGACAGTGGTGTGCTTCCACTGAAGGCTAGCAAATTTTGGCCAATCTTCTTGACAGAGTCTTGCTCCACCCTGATGACACTTAAGGAATGGGTTAGGTGATTATTATTTAAACTTTTATTCATCAGGGCTGGGGTTTTGCAGAAAGACTCCGCAACTTGTAAGAGTTGTAAGGTAGGTCTGTATTTATTTGGCACCAGGCACGTGTGGGATCTCTCTGAAGCTAGCTGCAGGGTCTGAGGAACCTCTTTTATCTCCAACAGGCCTCACATTCCTTCCATCTTGTTTGGGGTAATGAGCTCTTCTTATCAGGATCCCTGCATTCCTTTGTCCAGTCTTCAGGCCTTTGCAAGCACAGCAAGTTACAAGCTAAGCAGGTTAAGCAATATACATCGTCTAAAACAGCTGTCCTCTAACTCCAAAATTAATTTCTACCCTAAATTAATTTCTAACCCCCCGTCTCACGTTTTAGCCAGACATACAGTCTGTTTAATATCTGATATTGTTGTGGTTCACTAACCAAATGCATCTTCTCAGTTTGTTTAGTAGCTTTGCTTTTTACTTATCCATACTTCTGAATCCTGACCCTTTTTCCCTTTTCAAAATTATTTTGATTTCTGTGGTCTAATGGTTGTCGGTGTCTGTTGGGGCTGCCCAGGGTCCCAGGTGATCCCTGTGCAAATACTGGGCAGGCCCAGGATTGCTTTGTTTCCAGTACCAGATAATATTCAGGCATTAGGTCCAGCCCTCTAGACCATCTTGTTCATCAGGAGTACTCAAGTCTTACAAGGTTGAATCACAGAATGATTTGGGTTGGAAGGAACTTTGAAGATTATCTAGTTCCAGCCTCTTTACCCTGGGCAGACACACCTTCCACCAGATCAGGTTCTCAAAGCCCCATGCAGCCTGGCCTTGAACATTTCCAGAGACAGGGCATCCATAACTTCTCTGGACAAGCTGTTCTAGAGAGTCACCACCCTCACAGTAAAGCATTTCTTTATATCTAAGCTAAGCCTGCTGTCTTTCAGTCTGAAGCCATCTCCCTTGGTCCTGTCACTACATGCTGTGGTACAAAGTTTTTTCTGGTATTCTTGTAGTCCCCTTTAGATACCGGGTGGGTTTTGTATCTTCAAATGCTGCATTTGCAATGTTCCCTGAGAAAAGAGTTTTCTCCTAGAGGAATTCCTCCAGAGGCACTTAATTTAGAGAGCTTCTGTTTATGAGGGGTAAATGGATTCTGCTGTCTACCCTGCCTCCTGAATGAGCTTCTCTCACCTCCTGAGAGTAACTGTACCCTGGGAAGTACCCTGGGGAGCAAGTGGGAGAGTTGAGTGGAAGACACTTGGTTCCCCAAGCCCAGTGTCTCCTACTTCATAGTTTGGAGAAAATGGGGTCAAGGAAGAGCCTCTTATTCTTGGTTCATACAATATTCTTGTGCTGGAATGTCAGGGCTCTGCTGTGTGATTGGAAAGGCTTATGGTGCCTTATGGGCCAAGAACTCTCCTTGCAGCTCTGTGCAGCAAGGATGTGAGAGCAGCTTGGACTTGGAAACAGGCTCCAACCTCTGCCTCTGTTTAATTGGAAGAGTTGAATGTGGACAGAGTAAGGCTGACAAATGCAGGAGAGCAGCCAGCACTGTGCAGGGCAGGAGGAGTTGGGCTGCTCTTCAGACTGTGTTCCTCTTGTATAAGGCATCCTTACAGCAGATATCAGGGAGAGCTCAGGAAATCCCATCACGTGTCAAAAATACCGTGCTGAACAGCAAGGAACACGTTGTGCCTACAGCAGTATCTCCCATACTGCCCCAAATTTGGCCTTACAGGTTGGGTTTGGATAAAGTGAGAGACCAGTTTCCTTTCAGCCCATGAAAAATGCAAACGTACAGCACCAGTGCCCAAAGCCCAAGCTCGTTTCCACAGCCTTCGTGTACAACAGTGGCTCCTCATTCCTCATGATAGGATGATTTCTAACAGGAAAGGCCTTACTAAGTGCTGCCCAGAGGTTCTGGAATTAAACAGGGAAGGGGAAGTATAACCCCACTGTACACTAAACATTCAGGTTTTGGTGGGTGGTTGCACTCTTCTCTGCCTTTCTCTGTTCCTGCCACGTCTTCCTTGCCAGAGCTGTCTTTCTCTGCTTGTGATACCGTGGCTGTTTCCAAAAGCTGCCAGTTGTGATGTTGGCAAGAGTCTCGTGCATGCTGATGGAAAGGATGCAGTGAAAGCAGAGATAATTTTTCAGAGATCTCGTACCACCTCACTACAAACACTTTGTAGCATAAATAATATTAAACTGACAAGTCAAATGGCTTCTGGAGGTTTTCTGGGAGGGTCCTTGTGTTGATGAAAAACCTAATGCCGTTTGTATGTCTTTGAGACACCTAAGTAATTCTTTATGTAGTCTTAGTTTTGAGGGTGTATTAACATACATAAGAATTGTTTGGAAAAGAAGCCAAACAGTTTTTTACCACCTAGAGGTGGTGCTGCTGTCAGGAGGAATAAGTTCACTCTGCCACAATTAAAAATCTACTGAGTTGAAAAGGTTAAGTGATAGCCTGAAATGCTATAATGATGTGCACTTTTTTCTAATGGTTGGTTGATGCTTGCAATTTTCCTTAATGGAAACAGTGTGAATTCTGCTGAAATGTCAGATTTTTGGGGAAGCTGAAACATGAGCCTTGCCACTCAAAGTGCCTCACTTCCTTAGCTTTTTGGGAAAAGAAGGAATTTATATGATGTGTGATGGTCAGTCTGAGGTTGTCACTTTTGTTACTTTGTTGTTTATTGATTCCTAGGTGCACCTAAAAAGAAAAGAAGACGTACACTGGCATCTCCCACCATCACAGAAGAAATGGTAATTCTGAATTTCAGTAGTACTGAAACAGGGGACCCACACCTGCTACAGCAAAGGATTTACTTATCAAAGTATTCTGACAGTGTTCAGAAAGAGACTTGGGAGTTCCCAGTAGGCATTTGTTAACTTCTCTGCTGTTCGCAAATGCAGTGGTGCCCCAGGTGTCTGGCTTTTCTTAAAGCATTTTTGCTTTGAAGCAGTTTTTGCTTCCATTTTCAAAATTGAATGTCCGCAGAGGAATATTGGTAGCCATTCAGAGAAGCTGACAGAAAGCTTCTGTGAGAAGTCACAGAAATGTGGACTGCATTTATCTTTCTGCTAAGACACAAGTATGATAATGACAACAGCAGTAAATGTCAGCATGATGTAAAAATATATTGTTTTGATTTTCTTACAGAGTACAGAAGAGACAGCAGAAGAAAACAGTTTGCGAATACGAAAAAGAAAAAACAACAGGCATAAAGGTGAGACTCGCTTTGATACCGAAAGGGTTAATTCAGGTTTTACTGTGCCTGTGAAACTTTTAGCAGAGAAACAAGGCATGCTCCTCCAGCAAGGACAGTGGGAAGACACGAAGAAGATATGTGGCTCAAGAATGCAGTGGTAGATGGAACAAAGGACTTATTCTCTGGGAGCATGGGGTGGGATTTATGATCATGGATAAATTGTAATATGTATGTAGGGAGTGTATATAAGCAACACAGCGTAGAACCAAGGTGTCCACATAAGGTTAGGAGTATTCCCTGCAGGGCCTTGGGCCTGAAGAAAGGATGCTCTCTTGAACTTCAGTGTTAAGGAGCCTTATTCTGATATTTTGGACATTTGGTAACAAATTTATGGAGCAACTAGGAGGCACTGTGATCTGTTATGTTGAAGCGCAGAGCTTGGAGATGGCTGGTAGCAAATTCTGTGCTGGAAATGTATTTTTATGATTCTCCTGAGACAGGTGGCTCTCTGTGCTCTGGTGTGGCAGCAGAAGTCTGATTTGCAGAATGTTTTAATAACTGTGCAGCAAACAAATGCCTGTGGTTTGGCTGAGTGAGACTTGCTGTGTGATGTGAGCTGGTGATTCAGATGGGAATGCCCCTCTCTGGCTGGCTGCTGCATTCAGCTCTGTCTCCTGCAGACAGGGTGCCTCTGCCTGACGCTGCTCCTCCGTATCAGGACAGTTAAATCCAAATGGGAACCCTGGAAGGCGTTAACAGGGGAGCTGCTCTGAGGAGGGGGCAGCACATCTTGCCTTTGGAAGCCTGGCTGTACACAGGGTGCTTACACAATACAGCCTTTCACTGCATACATATGGAGTTGCAACAGTGAGATGGATCACAGGAGCTGTCTTTCAGTACTGCAGTTTTCATATTACCCTGAAGCTCTTGCTGCAGTTGCTTGTTGGGATTCTGCTGGCACTTGGAGTTTTGGAATGTGCTGGTGGTGAATTCACCTCACTATGGATATGCTTAATGTATGGGTATGGTATTGCAAGTGGCTGTGGTCTTTTCTGAATTTCATTACCACTGTAAAGAACAGGAAACCTATAAAGAATCCTGGAATACTCGTGGAGCATCTCGTGTAAGTGAGATGGCATTTCTTTCCTTACAAATGTCTCCAGTAAAATGTAACATTGTTTTTAACAGAGACTGGCAGACTTTTGTGAGCTGTCCAAAGGCTCTTTGCTTTTGAACAGCCCATTGCATTGGTCTTACTAAAACTTGTTGCTGACCTGCTGCTCAGAGATAAAGAAAAAAATGTAATTTCTCTATCAATCCAAATCTGACAAAGTAGGTACATAAAATGGGCTGTAATAAAAAACTTTAGTTGCCTGGATCACTTGGAGTAAAAGTAGCCTCAATTTTTGCCAGATCTAATACTGATTCATTTTTTGCACCGTTTTCTGTGCTTTAGCCTGTTCAGTCCATGGTGTGGTCCTAAGGATTGGTGAAACTGCGAGCAAGACAAATCACTAGGGGGTATCATGAGCTTTAGGAATGGCACATTTAGAGTTGTGGAGCTGTTTGCTTGTGATGAACAAAGCCAAATCTAGAGCTTAGGGAATTTTACACCCAGCACTGTGCTTACGTTTGCCTGGCTACTTTTTTGTTCCTACTGAAAAGGACTGTGTGGGTGGCTGGAGGAGCCAGGGATCTGCAAAACTATTTGTTACTGGTGGAAGGGCTTTGGCTAAAATTTTAGTTTCTGAAGAGAGAGGGAGCAAAGCCCACTTTACAGATCACTTCTGTATGAGAATGCTTTTGTGTTTTAACAGTTCGAATAGACTTTGTTAGGAAGTGCAAACAAGCTGGGCTTCTGGATGACATATTTGAAGAAATGCTGGACACACTTCACCTGGCTCAGGAAAAACTGATGGATGACAACACTTCAGAAACAGGTATGTTTCAGGGGACCCATGGCAGGGACTCTGCTGTCAGAGTAGAGGTGCAGATCTGAATCCTGGGCACTTGAACCTGGGCCATGTTCCTGAGAATATCGTGGTGCTAAATAACTCAGTCCTTATTTCTGAAGCTGTGCAGGAGGTTGAGAATGACCTCACCTTTTGAATGCCCACTTGCATGAAAGTTCCGAGGAACTTCTGGAAATTATGTAAGAGCTGCCAACGCAGCATCTCTAGTGAGACCTTCTGACTTGAATTTTTGAAGCCACCTTTTACATGTTGACATAAGCATAGGAAGGTTCGGTCCAGCCTGTCCTCCCAGGAACTGGAGAACAGAGAGGTCCTGAAGAGAGCCAGGTTTTATTGAAGTCCTAAGTCTCTGTTGCTCTTGCAGCTTCACAGAGGTGCCAGCTGTCTGTTAATATCAGCACTCTCTTCTAGGTGAAAATCCATCCCTAAGTATGTACATTTTAAGGCTTTGGATGATCTGTTACAAGTGTACTGTCAGCTGTTAGTGTCTGTTTGGGGTTTTTATGGTTTCATCACCTTGTGTGAGGTACTTTGTTTTTAAAGAATTCCAATCTAATGTTGCTTTGTCCACAACACAGTTAAAGAAAATTTTGAACTTTCCTCTCCAATTGTCCTCCCAGTTTTGTAAAGTTAGGAGTAATACCTTTGCATAAAGAAGGCTATTTTAGGCAAGGTAACTGAAGCACATGCATGGAAAGTGAAATGTCCCACCTTGAAAGTCTTGCTTCATGAGTAGCTTGTGTGTCAGTTGAACTCTGCAAGTGTTTTGTATTTTGCTTCAGCAGAAGCCTCAGGTATGAAATCGAGGTGTAATTCTTGGATGTTTCTTAACAGCAAACAGGGATAGCTCAGCCCCACACGTGATGGGTCAGAGGAGTTGGTGTAGTCAGCTCTGCCATCACACAGTCCTGGCATACTGAAGTGAAATATGACTTAAGTATATTGCCCTTCTTTAAATGCACTGTTCATGTGGTGCAGATCCAAAAAAGGAATAATCTTCTATATGAAACTGAAAAGAAAGAATTTACAACTTGATCCTTTTTTTCTCAATATAGATTATATGAGAAGGAAGACATTTTAAAACCTTGAGCAGTTAGTATGATGGAAAATAGGTGATTACTGTTTTGTGGTAGTTCTAATGTAGGACTCTGTAAACCTTTACACAGTAGTATTACATCAGATTATCTCTTTTCCCAGAGTATGAAGAGACAGTGATGGCACTGTTTGACTGTGGACTGTTTGAAAATATACTGACAAATATTTATTCAGGTATGTGCAGAAAAGCTGTCAGAGGAGCAGCTGGTCTGGGGTTTGGCACTGAAGTTATTCAAATGAGAATTTTGATAGAACAATAATTTAAAATGAAAATTCCAAGGAACTTTTTTTCTCAGTGTTATGTAAACAGTTGAATAAAAGCCATGGCTAGCTGAATCTTTAGAAATACAGTATATCACATGGGGCTGGCTGACCTGCAGGAGGGAGCAACTCACAGTTCCACAGCTTTAAAAGGCCAAAGGGTCTCCGCCCCAGGGGAACGCCGCTCTCCTGCAGCTTATTTGGGTTCCTTCTCCACAGCCCCCCTTCAGCAGTTTGCCAGTGTTACAGCTCTGCTGCTGGCTGACAAGTGCTGGTCAGAGTAGTGCTTTCCACTGAAACACAGCAGCCAAAGGCCAGCAGAACTCACCTGGACTGGGGGGCAATTGAGAATGCTCAGAGGGAAATGTAAACAAAGGCAGGAACAGTTACTCGGGAGCGCCTGTGTGGAAGGAAACTGTGGGGCTTGGATTCTCAGCTGTCTGAAGCAACAAGGCTGAAGCTGTTTTTCAGACAGGCAAATCTCATGCTTCCCATTTCCCTCTCCAACAGTTGTTCTAACTTTTGCTTTAATTTATTCTGGTGAAAAGGGTTTTAATCAGCTAATGTTGAGGTTTGGTGTGTGAAGATGATGTCTGCTCTTTCCCCTTCGCTTGCCTGAAAAAGCCAGGCTCCTTCCTTCAGTCTCCTGTTCTTGCACTGAAGCTCCTTTTTCAGCAGTTGGAGTGTCCGGTGTTCAGCTGTCTGACACCAGGTCCCACCAGTGCCCCGTCCTCGGACATTAAAACATCTCTGCTCGGAACTCCTCGTGTCACACAACCTTGGATCACGCTTGTTTCTTTCACTGCCGCATCAATTATTTCATCCTCTTCTCGGCTTACAGGAAAATCTCTTGATATTGGCACCTGCCTGCACACAACCATGTGATTCTCATGGGTACTAGCTGTCCCCTCTCCAAATCCCCACAACTCAAGCAGCTCAATTCTTCCTGTACCACACAATCTTCTTTTCTGAGACCTTTTAATTTCAAGGTTGATAATAATGAGGTTGGTTCCAACACTGATTCAAGAGGAGCTCTTAAAATGAAGCAGTGAAAAAGAAATGAAAAACATGTTAATTACAAGTGAAACTGTAGAGGGGAAAGCAAATCACCAGCTGCTTTTTTTTTTTCTTCTTTTTTTTTTATTGTTGCTGTTGTCATAATCTCTTATAAGCTCTAGCTAGCTCTGTGATGACATACTAAGTCAAGGACTACATAAAGTACGACTGGTAGAAATACTGTGTTTCAAGCTGATGATTTTAGGTCATCTGCCATGCTTTAAATTCAATCTTTTTGTCACTTCTTAAATCATCATGCAAATCCCATTCTAAAGCCTTACATGCCAGCACAGCAAGGCTACTCTGAACTGTAACTGGTGAAAGCTCTTCTTAAAATCCTTTTTTGTATACAGGGATCCACAGTCCTTTTGCAGCGTGCAGCTTTGCTGCAAACTCAACTGCATGTAAAACCTTGCACACAGGACGTGCTGTTGCCTCAGCAGCAGTTTCAGATTTCTAGGTTGGAGGTTCTTTTCCTCTCCTCCAAGGGAAAGTGACTTCTTTTAGTTTTGTTTTCAGTTCTGTAGTGCATCCTGCTTGGGCAGGATGCCTCCATCAGATTCCCTCTCCTCTGTGCTGGTCAACAGTCTGGCCAGAAGCTTTTGAGCTCCTTGACAAGCATTTGTTTTCAGGGTGTTTGTAGCAGGAAATTCTGCAATTCAGAAAAAGGTTGTGGAGACAAAGGCCCTGATACTTGATTTTGAAACTGTGTGCAGTTCCTTCACTGAGAGCCCCATAGCACTTGGGGCAGTCATCACAGGTCCACGTTCCTCAAGCCATTCCTGATTTTGCAGAAATACATTTTCTTTCCCTTCAGCTCATTTCCTCTGTGAGGTGGAAGGTTCCCAATCTGTTACCTGTCTTCCTGTGGAAGCATTTCTGTAGGCCAGTCATTCCCATCACTGACATCTTTCTCTGGGCTCCTTCTGTTCCGGCCACATCCTTTTGACAGGAGAGAAACTGAGCTGTGGGTGTTCCATTTGTGGATCTCCCAAATGCTGAATCCACAGGATCACAGAGTGTTCTGAGTTGGATGGGACCTGCAAGGCTCATTGAGTCCAACTCTTAAGTAGGTGGCCTGTATGGAGATTATGGGGATTGAACCCATAACCATTGGCATTATTAGCCCCATGCTCTAACCAACTGAGCTGCTTTGTTAATTTCATTAATTCATATTATTAATTCATATCCAGATACTCTCTTAAGAGGGTTTTTTCCCCTGGTTCCACTTGTACGTGTCCAACTTGTTCAGGTATGTCACCTGAGTGCAGTTGGAAGGGGCATCTCCTTCTCTCCAGTCAGAGCTAGGCTGGGGCACCAGGTCCCTGTTCAGTGAACGCTGCCAGAATTTCCCATGAGCAGCAGGCACCAGCAGTGCCCTGGCTGCCCATGTTCAACACCCACACCCAACTTTGGGTCATGTATTTAAAAACACGTCCGTGTCCATCACATCCACCCACAGGCAGCAGGTGCCGTGTTTTCTCACTACAGAGGAAGAAGCAGCAGGGAGGCAAAAGGCCAAAGTGCTTTCCTTCCTTTTTTCTTTTTTTTTCAAATCAGTTAAGGCTCTCTTATTCTGAATGGCATAGAGTAAACATCTGGAGAGAATTTCTGCACTCTATTCACTGGAACTTTGGAGGCATCCTTCAACGTCTTCTCCAAAAGAAGAAAAATACATTTGTACAAAATGTACAAATTTTACAAATTTTGCGCAAAACTGATTTTGTACAAAAATGACAGTTTGTACAAAATGTCTTCTTACTAGAATCTGAACTCTCAACATTCTCACACACTGAGAAGGTAGTTTGTTGTTCACAGAGAAGCCTTGCTGCTCAGAGGTCACCAACACCTCTGTGTGTCCTGCTAACTGAACAAAGCAGGTGCTTCATTTAAAACTTGTGATTAACACTGGATGGTTGTGGTAGTGCTTCTGAATACTGGTAAGGTTCCCTACTTAGCTCTCACTGACTTCAATAATCTTTAATATTAGGGAAATAGAAGCAGCAGAGGGAAGCAGAAATGCAGTCAAGCAAGGCTTTGCAAATAAGGTAAACAACTTGGTTAATCCTATCAGGATACTGTCAATAATGATTTTGTCAGAAGCAGGAGAATAAATAGTATTGAATTCTGTTTTTGAGAATCGAGTTGTTGAATGCAGTTGTCCCAATCATCTGTTTTTAGGTTTAATTTTGTTTTTGGCTAAAATCCACTAGGCTTGTAAATTTGCTTTAGGAGTGTAATTTAGAGATGGTATCTTTAAAGATTTAACATAGAGATTGTTGGGGGAGTCCTCACACAAATGGCCTCTGAAAACAGAATCTTTAAAGCTCATATGCCAGTTAACACAGGGGAGTAGTAGCTAAACTAGTAATTTTTACATATGCTGAGATGTTTTAAATTGAATCTCAAAACTAGCTCTTCTATAGATGGATGGCAGAGTCCATGACTCCTGCTCTGTGCTTTGTCTGACTCGCCAGCCAGGCTCTCAGCAGAGCCAGAGTTCAGCTCTTTGTGAAGACACCAGGCGTGCAGGGTGGTGGGTTACAGACACTGCTGCAGAAAGGCAAAGGTTTTATTGTAGGTTAAACCAGGCAGTGGTAGCTCTGAGTTAATGAATATGTAATGTGTTTTATATTAGTAATACTTACGTATAATAATAAAAACTTTTTTTCCTTAATAATAAAAGCTTTTTACAAACCCTTTTTCATAATAGGAACAGAAGAAAAAATCCAGAAACTTCTGGAAAACAGAAAAAGACTGGATCACAAGATTGAGGTACTGCAGGACTTAAAAGAATTCATCCTTCCTACTCCAGAGAACATGGCCAGTACATCCAGTACAGTGTCTGAATGACCCCTCTCTGTGATGGTGCAATTGTTAGGATTTTCTAATGATAAAAACCACAGACCAGTCTGGTCAGTGCCCAACGCCCCAGCCCCAAGATGAGGGCAGAATGGGTGCAAGAATGTCGTGTTACACTCATTTTTATACCTCACTGTTGCAATAATTTAAAGTCCTTCAAGTTTTCAAATTTTCGTCTTCAAATTTTTCCTGGTTCCACTATAAACTTCCATTTATATTGCACAACAGAATGTAAATGTGTATTATTAACTAAATATAGCTTTTGGAAAAACTCAACAAACCCTCCAGGGAAGACTTTTTCCTCAAAGCCAAAGGAGTGTTCAGCTGCCACAGAAGAGTTGCTGAATTCCCTTGAACTGTGGGAGCCCTCTCCTGGCTGGGCAGTAGCTGCCTCGCTGTCTGTGTCCAGACAGTGATGGTTGAAGGATCATAGTGCTGCTTTGGCTTTCCCAAAAAAGATTAATGAGCAGAACTTGCACTCAAAGAAGCCTTCTGGCTTACAAACAGGAGTTTAATTTAAAAAGCCAAATTATTCTTTATTGACTGGTCAAGGTGTACTGTTTCTGCTGCAATGGCAGTGGTAAAGCAGTGTTTGCAGGCAGACCAGAAAGGGTTGGGCATTATAGTCAGAACAAGTAATGGCAAATGGAGCAAAACAGTGACTGGATCTTCCTTTCTCCGTTAAGAAGGGGTTCAACTTTCATGCGTTTTGTCTTTAAAATATTGTTTGAATTCAGAAAAGCATTGTTTAGCCACAACAGGCTAATAAAATAAAACATTTTTTAAAGGAGCTGTGTGTGGAGTTGTGCTCCCCATCCCTAAGCTGCTGCACAGGACACAGCCAAGAAGGGGGAATGCTGTCAGGCCCTGCTTTTGCTGAGGGACAAGCAGAGCACCAGCAACCACCACTTGGTGCGACACGTGTGACATCCTGTTACAACAGCTCTACTCTCTCCATGACCACTTGGAATTCCTCACTTGAGCTTGTGCTGTAGGAAAGTGGTGATTGATAAGCACAGAATAACAGCATTCAAAACAAGCTCTTGAAGGATAAGGTGTGCCTGATTCAACAAAATAATAGTAATTTTAATTGCTTACAGAGTTTGTCTGCTGCCCTTCTGGGCCTAGAAACATGACCAGTTTACTGCCCAAGGCCAGGACTTGAGGGCCACTGAGCCTAAAAAAACCCAACCTAAACCAAAAATGCATTGACAAACTCTTCATTAAACACAGTAGGTGTGATAAGGATGGTCCATACATACCTTCTGAAGGGTTACAGCCACTTAAGGATGACTTAGTAAAACAGTCAGATGGAGTGAACCACTGAGGTCTAAAATTAGTGCCTAGAAAGACATTTGTGAACTTCTGAAATCAAGATTACAGGTGTTTTGCCAGGCACAGTGAAAGCAGCAAGATTCATTGTATAGGATGAGTTGGGTTTTGGCTTTATTTGTTGTTTATTTGGGTTTTCCTTTGTTGTTGATGAAGTTTTTTAAATGAAGCAACTTAGATGCTGTATGTAACACAAAAAGCTTGCAATGTTCTTCAAAATCCAAAGTTTGCTAGTGAAGAGGTACAAAAAAGTGAACTTTATTACAAGTAGTTTAAATTTAGACAAGAATGAAAAGCAAAATCCCACCCAGCTTTCCATTCCCCCTCTGAGGGAACCAACATAATCTGAAGTCGTTGAAGAGCGGAATTATTTCCATTAAGCATTATAAATATTGCTTGAACAGATTACACAAAGTACACATTGCAGCTTGTATTAAAATATACCCAAATATAGAGATTTACTTCAAATTAGTTCTCCTAGTAACTCCTTTCTTCGAAGTCGCTTGCGTAGGCTTTGAAGATAAATTATTTTTGCACACTTGAAGCACTGGATACACTTGGTTAATTACAAACAGCAAATGGCCAATTCATTCACAATCATGCAAATGCAGGAAGAGAACCATGCCATTTGCTTCTCTATAATCCCAGGGAGTTAATGATTTAAGTGCCATCATTCAGTGGCCCAGGTCAGACTATTTCCCAACCCCAAATAGTAAATTGGAAATACGAGCAGGCGGTGCCAGAACAGAGATTTCCTAGGCTGGAAAGGCAAGTCCGAACACCAGCCGGAATCCTTTGCGCACCGCAGCGTTTCCTGTTTGCCTGAAGCCTCGAGCTGCATCCACCATCCAGGTTTGTTAAATGCAAGTGAGTGTTTTGCTTGACATTTTTACAACAGTTCGCTCTTGAGCACTAAAAACATTTGTTTTCACTGTGGCCTTTCAGGTCCTGTGGTGGAAGAGCCCACCTAACACTCGCCTGGACCCACACAGTTACGTTGTAGCTGGAAAAAGAACCCCACAAACACCTTGACTTACGGCCTCATTTTTTTTCAGTTCTTAAAGGCTCCACATTTACTGGCTTTAGCAATAAATTCCTTTAGCAGGGGACCATCCATTTGCCAAAATGCTGTAGTTTGTGTCACTTCTGTCAAATGATTGACACAAAACTTAAAGCAGAATTCCTCTAAGTCCTAGAGAGGTGGGAAAAAAAAAAAAAAGAAAAATGTTATCTTTGCTTTCAATCAAAGAAAATATCGTTGAGGCACAAATGCCTGTTTATGTTTTATTTTTGCAGCAAATTGGACAAACGCATCCAGTGGCTCTGTTGCTTTTCAATCAAAGAAAATATCGTTGAGGCACAAATGCCTGTTTATGTTTTATTTTTGCAGCAAATTGGACAAACGCATCCAGTGGCTCTGTTTCCCCCCAACAGTCACCATGTAAATGCAACAGAAAATAATGATTCTACCCACATACATCACGATGTAAATGCAGTTACAAGGGGAAGGAACCAGAACTGGTTTCTCACTATATAGCAGCAGTCACAAAAAACAGCTGTTCTGAGCAATATACATTGTAAGTTCTCACACTTGAAGAGTTTCATCTGCATTCTCTGACAGCTTTGAAACCCTTGGGGTAATGATGTATAACCAAGACTGCAGATAAAGAAAATTCAGCTTTCCTTTCACAATATGAACAAATCTATTTGTAAGTTGCTTGACTTCCTTCCTGCTTCTTGAAGGGCTTAGCTAGGGCCTTCAAGTTCCATGTCCCCAGGCTCAGTGCACGTGTATCCTGACTGGATAGCTTGTACAGCAGAGATTAGGCGGAAGGTCTTTCTGCGCATTAGAAACAGACTCTGCTACAAAGTACTGCACAGGGCTCCCCAGTGTGATTCAAATGCAGTACTGCAGCACGGTGCAGCACAGCAACCCTTGCAGAAAGTGGGCTCCCGATATTTGAGTTTACTTGGAAGTGCCTCCCATGTAATAATTAGAAAAGCCTAGCGGCCCTCATTGCACCCAGGTGATGTCAGACAGAGAAAATGCCTCAAAGAGCACAAAAAAAGGCACAGTCCTTGTCTGTGTAAGGTTCCCCGCAGAACACTTCCCACTCAGATGATTTCCAACTCCTCCTTTGAGGAGGAAATCACTCTGTGGTGCAGATCTAAGCTGCTAACAAAAGGGCAACTTTTGCCTTACAAAAGGGCAACTGCCCACACTGTTCTAATTTCTTTCTTAGATGTTTGTAGGACTGTCTGTATGTTAGAACACAGCCTTCCTTGGCTGCTGAGCAGACTGGGCACTGCAGAAAGGCATAACAAACTTGCAGAAACTCTTAAGTCCCATGAGGTAGGAAAGACTGAATAATACTCATGTTTTCTCTTAAGGTCAACACTGAAACTAGAGCTAGTGTATGCCAGTGCCAGTTCTTGACACAACAATAATATAAAAATATATCCTGGCCTAAAACCAGGCATTCTGAAGCTGCAGATCTTGACTTGTGTGGCATCTGTGCAACAAAAAAAGACAAGCTTATTAGAACTGAACACTGACAGTTGTGGTATTTTTTAATAACAGAATTAACTAGCATTTTAAAGAAAATTACATCATACACATTACAATATTTTGCACTGCTTTATTAGAAACTTCATATTCCAAGTCAATGCAACAGAAGCATACAATAAACAGAATTATTGTAGTATTAGTAACTCTGGAAAATCTAAAGTTCTGTATAAAAAAGAAAGGCTGAGTTTCATTTGCAGATGGATGAGCTCTCAGCAAACTTAATATAGACTTAGGTGAATAAAGGCACAAGGTACAGCTAAGGATTACTTTAAAAGCTACAATGAGAAGATAGCCCTGACCTAATTTTAGCCACTTCAGTCAGTCACACCAAAAGAATCTGCAGGAGTTTCATATCATGGAGGTATTTTAAATTAGTGAAGCAGCTTCTTTTAAGTGTTGTCTTGCAGGCACATACCCTCCTGAATGAACTACATCAGTCGAGAAATTCCAAGCCCCCTGCCAGCAGTGCAGCATGTAAACCCAACCTTTTGTTAAAGCCCAGCCCCTCAGCATCACCCATTCTCTCCTGGAAGCAGCACTGAAGCCTGTGGTTCTAACTTGACTTAGCTAGGGAGCTACAGGTCTGGCAGAGTAACTGGAATTCTTACAGCCATTACAAGCACAATCAATCACACACTGAATTCCCATCCTGCAAACCATCTCTGGAGGCTAAAATATGGGAATCTTCCTATTTTTGAGGAACTTCCACCAAAGACATCACTATTCACAGTAGACAGGAAGCCGTGACAGACACTAACACAGCCTTTGGGTAAGGTCTGTCAAACAAGCATCCACACCTCAAGCCTCTGAAATAAGTTAAGGCAAGCTGCATGCCAGCTGCTGGAAATTAAGTACAAGAAAAAGCAATAAGTTGATTTACTGAGTACCAAAAAACTGCTTTGTAAGCATAAGCAGCAAGTTCAAAACCAACCACCTGTAAAGTTGCCAACACAATGCACAGATCCTACTGAACACAAAGAGCCAAAGCAAGCCCGGGAATACCTCCTGATTAGTTCCTAAAGCAGCATGTTAGGGATCTAGTAGTGAAATCAGACCTTCCACAGTGAGGAGGTTTCACTCCCCTCTTCACACACTGTTGCTCGGTCTTCAACGTTTATAAGGCCCCTGAAGTGGTTCCTATCCTGACACTTCGTTAGCCTACTCTGAAAGCTGGAAGTGTATTTGTACCTAACAAAACAAAAAAGCCAAAAAACCCCACCCCACCAACGAAAAAAAATCCCAAATGCACTCAATCCCCAACCTACCACCATGTCATCACAACACACAGCCCTACAAATAAAGTAACTTAAGGCTTAAAAGCCTGCTTTTCATTGTTACTTCTTTTTGTTTAAACCCTCCCCTTGTTTCAGAGTTAGTGTTTCCATCATCAGAAATATCTGTTTACTAGTTCACCTTCCCAGTACTGGTTTATGGGGAAAACCTAAAAAAAAAGAGATACAAAAACCGTACTTGCCATGAGATGCAAGTGCAACATTCTCAAATTCTGAAAATGGCAAATAGTATTAAATGAAAGAGAGCTTATATGAAAATGTAACCAGCTGCTTTTCTCCGTAGTTTAACTCAGGAAGCAGCCACCCATTTAAGAGATTGAACTTTAGAAGTTTACCTCTGCATCATATCTGACAGCAGCAGAGAGCAATGAAAATGCATTTTCCACAGTAATTCCTCTCTTGATAATGTGCTGACACAGTTTTTTCAGTCTGTTTTCACAGTATGAAGTAGCCAAATCCAAAAGCCCTGCAAATTGAAACATCATCTTATCAGTCAGTTGAAAAATTATCTCTGCTCTTTCAACATCTGTTTCTGCTCCTGCAAAGCTCTGTATCTCTATAATGTGCTTTTTCCAAGAAGGTCACTATTCAGAA